GAGAGAGAGAGAGAGAGAGAGAGAGAGAGAGAGAATTCATGTGTGTATGTAGGTATGTGTATGTCTCTGTATTTCTGAGTATGTGGGCATGTGTGTGAGAGTATATCTGTATGTATATGTGTTTGTATATGTGTCATGTGTATGTCTGTGTGTGTACATGTAAAGTGTAATTTAAACATGAAAAATTTTCCATTAAAACTATATTTTCATTTTCAGAAAACTGAGAGGTACTATTAATACTGGATTAAATTTCATGTTGCACCAACAAAGATAACAGGCACTCTTGTCTACAGACCTTGCATTGTCCCACGCCCTACTGCCCACATATTGTCTTTTTTGCCCAACTCTAGAATTCATTCATGTTAACAACCAATTTCTGGTGGCACAGGTTTTGGCAACCCCTGAATAAGATGATCTTCAGACAGAATTATATCGAACTTTAGTCTAAACAAAGCTTATATTTAAAAAAAATTAACCAAAGTCTTTTAAAAATAAAATGAAAAACAGGATCCCAAATAGCTAGATGAGGTCTTTATCTCATCCCTTTATCCTGCTTTGTGAGTACCAGTATGAATATAGGCTGCTCCATGTCACCAACTTCTGGCTTCTAAATTTACAGTAGGAAAATAAGAACTGTTTTGCTTATCTAGCACCTTTCATTTTAAACCATTCCCCCACACACTAAGATGCCTAAGGACATATGAAAGTTCCATCTGGAACTTTTCACTAAAGATGAAGAACTTAAGTCAATTGGACTGTGCTCTATTGGACCACACATGTCTCATGCCTCTTCTGCTGGTAGCATTTGCTGGCTAAATAATGTTCTGGTCTGTGTCCTCAGCATGTCGGGGTGGCTTCCTCTGTGGCTTCATGTGTTCATTTTTCTGCTCTTCATAACCGTTTGTTAGGTGGCGTCAGTTATAATGCTTTTGAAGCTCTTCTTCCTTCCTGGTTGGGTGCCAAGCATACTCTAGAATCATCCGGAGTGGCCCGTACTCATATACAATGAGGAGCGGACCTGCCTTTACAGTACCAACTACAGTGAGGCTCTCCCTTATAAGTAACCTGTTAAATCTCAGTCCAAGGCTCTTAGCATCTGTGCATCTAAACCCCACATGTTTATGGACACATTCTGAGCATCTGAGTCATATTTCAAATCAAAACCGCAAGTGTGGGGACTAATTGTGGGGTTAATGACAGATATCCTTGGACTTGCTGGGTATTTTACCATCTTCTGTGGCTAAACTATCTTTACCAGGTAAGCCCCATTCCCTTCTGCCCCCTCAAAACCTTCCCTTCCTCTGTCCTTCCCCATGGATTTATAGTAGCAAGGTGTGTGGAAATTTCCATCCAAGAAATGCACATAAAAATAAGTCATCCATCTTCTCGCCCCCTACCCCCCTAACTGGTGTCTCAAGGGAGCTTGCAAGCCTTTATGCCTTTTCTGATTGAGGGAAAGATTGATTCCATGGCAGAGAGTAGTGACCTTGACAATGTCAAATAATTTAATATGCCATTAGGCTCCAGGCCTGACTTTGGGGTTCATTCGAAGTCATTGAGAGCTCTGTTTTCTCTGAACAATATGGCTGTTGAGAAGGACTAGGGAGGTGGTCGTTCAGGCAGTCAGCTGCTGAAGGGGTCTTTCAATTTCACTTTTAATAGGAAAATAAAATCAGTTAACTGTTTCAGCAAAAGCTTTTCAGAAAAATCAGGTCATTCTATGGTCTGTGGCTCTTTTATTATGATTGGAATCATGTCACTAGATACACACGTAATAAAATGCTGCCTCATAGGGCCTGGGAAACAGGCATGAAAATTGGGTTTTTCAAAAGTTTCACTAGATGTTGCTTTCTTGAGACAGCAAACTGTGGGAGTTTTAGGAAGAGAACAGCCATGAAGTTGAAGCTATGGTGATCTTTGGGGGGGGGCAGCGGCAAGGGCGGGTGGCAGCAGAGGCAGAGACAAGTGTATGGTATGAAAGCACACAGCCTTGGCAAACCAGGAGCTGTTACTTGGTCCTCCTCTGTCCCTCTAAATCCCACTGGCCACCAGCTCTTCACTCAGGTTTGCAATCAGCCACCCTGGACTCTGCTCCTAGGCTCTCCCACTTACCGGGTGACCTTGTGCAAATTACTTAATCCTTCTGGAGCCTCTATAGGAATTAAATGAGATCATGCCTGTAAAGCGCTTCTCACAGTAACTGGCTCAGAGCCAGTGGTCAATAAACGGAGCTGTGATTAGCATCATTATTATTATTGGGCTTGGTCCTCAGTGCCTTAATTATCTCTGGGCCACACCCCATCGGTGTCTTTCTGCCTCTCAGAACAGCCTTCCTTCTGTGCCCAGGTTTCACTGTTGGGTTATTGCCAGCTTTTCCCCTCTAAAGCAGTGGGGGAATGGTGTCTTCTTCCCTTCTCGGGGTTGGAGATAACCTCCAGGCACTTTCACATTCCTCGAAGCAGGCCTGTAATCTAACAACTGCTGTTCCATGGGCTGTGGACACCCAAAGCCTGAAGGCACATAGCAGATACTAACCTGTCTGAGATCTTTTGACCACACAGGTAGGAAATTACAGATCTTTGAGCCTTCCCGGGAGTCCTGAGCCTCTGCAAGGAAAATTGTGGCACAATATTTCTTTGTCCCTGCCCAGGAATATACTTCCAAGGTGCACAGAGACTTTCTATAAGAGCCACAAGCACCTGTCAGCATACGCTGAATACATAGCTCCATGCGACCTGCTTCCATAGTGATCTCCTGGCAGCCAGATGTAGCTGCTCATGGGCTGATATTGGAAGAGGTTGTGTGTCCCCACAAGTCCTGTTGGGTGTTGTTGAAATTTGAGATTCCCAGCTTTAAAAGAAAAATCAAGATTTTGACATTTAAGTTTAGATTTCCAGGAGATCCAGCAATACTGAGCAAAGGTAGTTTTCCACAGAATAGGAGTCCTGTGGCTATATAGCAACTTAAAATGTTCATGCTACAATCTTCTCACCCCACTCCTGACCCAAAGTTCTCTCTCTCTCTCTCTCTCTCTCTCTCTCTCTCTCTCTCTCTCTCTCTCTCTCTCTCTC